CTCTCTCTCTCTCTCTCCCTCTCGCTCTCTCTCTCTCTCTCTCTCTCTCTCTCTCTCTCCCTCTCTCTCTCGCTCTCCATCTCTCTCTCGCTCTCCATCTCTCTCTCTCTCTCTCCCTCTCTCTCCATCTCTCGCTCTCTCTCTCCCTCTCTCTCCATCTCTCGCTCTCTCCATCTCTCGCTCTCTCTCGACTCCATCTCTCTCTCGCTCTCTCTCTCGCTCTCTCCATCTCTCTCTCCATCTCTCTCGCTCTCTCATCTCTCTCTCTATATTTTTACACACACACAACTAATGACTACAATTTCAGATGTATGTGTAAGCTCAGTTATGGCTGGTTCTTTTTTTAAAGACACTTTTTGTTTGTTTCCTGTCTTGCAGGGATTTGGGATGCCAATGTTCTGAGGTTCAGTACATACCTGGAACTTTTGTTTAAAGGCCTGTATACTGTGAGCTTCTGTAAGAAAATTAGAAAAACAAAAAAAAGACTTTTTTAAAAACATCGTTTTTTTGTTCATACCAAATGCTTTGCCCTATTGATGGATTCTGTCCAAGCAGAGAACCCTACGAACACCCTTGTTTGGAACAGAGCTACATAGATGATACCGCTCAGCTGTCTGCATTTGGTTGAATTTTCTGCAGAGAAGTAAAATTAAAAGGAAAAAAAATGGCTACAAAGCCCGTTTTATGGACAACTGGTTTTACCAATTTTTTTTTTTCTGTACAATTAAACATTTTAACTTTTTGCCTTCACGATCAACTTTGTTTTTACTATTTGGCTATTAAGTGACCTGAAGCAAAGCTGCCTCCACCCCTATGCGGACAATGACAGCAAACACTAACACTCACATTGTCTAGTCGATCTAAGGGCCCGCAAAATGCACTGGAAAATAACATTGGAGGGGGTGCTGACCAGGCCAAACTTCAAAACAACCGCACTCTGGTACCAACATAGGTTCAATCTGAATGGATGTCAAGACCAATAATCTATCTCATTTTTGTCACAAGTTTTGTATTTTGAGCCCACGGTATCTGCTCGCTATTTCTTATGTTCTCTCAAGAAACAGCACATCATCCTTTTCTTTTTTATTTTATTATTTTTTTCCCTTTCTAACCATTACCTGTCCTGCACATTTTTAAACAACCAAAACCAGCAAATCAAGGACAGCAGGTAGACTCGGTTCCATCATTTACAGTTAACATTGTCTTTTTTGACACTTTTTTTTTTTCCCCCCTTTTCTTTGTTTGTCACCATTTTTATATTCTTTGTATTGTTCGACACAACCGTTCATATTTTACAATGAATAAAGGAAACTTATAATAGTGGGACTTACCCGAGTCTAATCTCCATGCAGTAAAATACAATTCAACAGTAATATTTTTGTAAAAAAAAAAGACAAAAAATGAAAAATACAATTTTAAACTGTTTTACTGTTGCCTATAAGTGCTTGGATGGGTCATTTCTTTTTTTTTTCTTTTTTTTTTTCCCCTCTGGTCAATGTTGAAATTTATGGCATTTTCAGTGTTAACTGTTCAAGTTTGGCTCTTTTTAAGGGGAGAAGAGGTGTTTTTTTCCCCCCAGCACAATAAATTCCTGTTTAACTGCCCTGTTCTGTATTATTGTAATAAAATTCAAAATCACATGTCTTAAATAAAAGTGATTTTAACAATATTTGATTGATTTTACATTGGTGCCAATGATTGTTGCCAGTTTTTCAGTAAGCAATAATGCTTTTTTTTTTTTAAAGTAACAGGTATGAGAGCAGTAGAATAAAAGAACAATTCTATTTAGTGATTTTAGCCTCTATTCAGAATGAGGTCACATCACTGGAATCTTTGAAGTGGTTGCGGAGGGGCTTCAATTTACTTGTTAATTACTACATTATTATTACTAAAGCTTGCCATACACCTTAACAAAGAGAGAAATCATGTGATTCCCCCATCCACACTATAGAACATGGATGGAGGTTTTGTATTTCTAATACCCAAACAATGATTGCAGCCAGGTGACAATTTTCCGCTCGGCCTTTTGACAAAAGTCAATTGGAAATCATCTGTTGTGGAGCTGCCATTGAGTTTCGCCGTGTATGGCCAGCTTTAATTGAAACAAAAGTGTGGGACTTATTTTTTTTCTTTTTCCTAATGGCAGAGCTGCTCACACAGGTAAATGTAAACCGTCAATAATTCCATCTTGTTTTTGTAAGCAGGATGGCTGTTTAGTATGAAAAATAGCGATTCTTAGAGAAAAACCGACTTTCTTTTCTTTGCAACTATAACAGCCTCCATTGTTCTGGGAAGTCTTTCCACAAGGCGGGTTTTGTGCCCACTCAGCATTTGTGAGGTCAGGTGTTGGACAAGAAGACCTACTTTGCAATCAGCGTTCCAGTTAATCCCAAAGGTGTCCCTGAGAGGTTGAGGTCAGTGATCTTTGCTGGCCGCTGAAGTTCCTTCACTCCAATCTCATCAAACCTTGTCTTTATGGGACCTGGCTTTGTACACAGGGGCACAGTAAAGCTGGAACAGAAAAGGGCCCGAGTTTTGGAAGATTTCCTGTTCTGGTGACATCTCGAGCAGAAAGTGAAGCAAAGTACAACAGATAAGATAAGGACCTTTTCTCTGGCGCTGTGGCTCCGGGTTTTGTGATTTAAAATCAGCTTGTCGGGTCTGGTCACCGACTACAGCTTTTATTTGTGGGTGTCAATGTCAGCAGAGACTTTTCTCACTGCAGATACCAGCACCCCATTGCACTGCTGTTGTGGCTTCTGTTCTTGTGAACCGAGCAGACAGGTAATTTTCCACTCACCCCTACCAACCCCTCCCTAATATCTGCCTGATTGATGAAAGTCAACTTTACTTTGAGTCTTTATTTTTTTACCAAATTGAGTGCCATGCGTTGTCTGGGCCCATTCTAATTATTTACAACTATTAAGGGCTAAAGAACCACACACGTGTTTTATTCCCTTGCATCTCACATTTTAGTGATGCAGATGAAGTAGGTGTAGGTGCTTTCCGCTGAATTGTTGAGATTAGGCCACCAGGCCATACATGTAAAGAGTTCTTAGCAAACATATACTTGCTCTAGATTTTAAATGGTATGTTCAGCCAAAAACTTTTTTTGGTTTGGGGTAGAACTGTTCTGAGGAAATAAGAGCAAAAACAAGGGCACCTCCCCCAGTGCAGAGATACTTTATTGTTAAAAACAAACAAATGGTAATGGGTACTCACAAGTATACAAATGGATTCACAATTGTCATGCATCAACACGGGCCAAAGGTGTAAACCATCAGCGGAGAAGAGTCCTACCGCACTCCTTACTGGTATGTCCCTTGCGGTGGGTGCTGTAGTGACTGGGGATGGTGCTGCTCCAGATCCAAATGGTAAAGTATGTCACCAGCACACCATGGCTCAATCTTCAAGCAGTGATCATCTTATTGATGCACACACATCTTGTCACATTGCAACGTTTCTGGGCCACTCAGGGTCCTTTCATCATGCCTGATGAAGGGACCCTGAGTGTGTGTGTGTCCGGAACGTTACAATGTGACCAGGTGTGTGCATCAATAAGATGATCACTGCTTGAAGATTGAGCCATGGTGTGCTGGTGACATACTTTACTATTTCCATCAGCTAAGCAGACACATGAACGTCCTCCTGGCATCACACGAGTGGTCATCGCTGGTCACTGGGGTGATGCCAGGAGGACGTCTCATGTGTCTGCTTAGCTGACGGTTTACACCCTTGGCTTGCTGTTGGTGGATGACAAGTGTGAATCCATTTGTATACTTGTGAGTACCCAATACCATTTGTTTGTTTTTAACAATAAAGTATCTCTGCACTGGGGGAGGTGCCCTTGTTTTTGCTCTTATTTCCTCAGAACAGCAATATATCTTTCCTGACTGATAAAGTGCTGCCACCTAGTGGGATGTTTTGGTTTATCATGTGAAGCATCAGCTGTTAGCTCTCTGGCACTGGTGGATCAAGAAAGGCTTTTGTATGAAAAAGTAAGTACACCCTTGTCCTCAGCAGCTGGTACAGCCCCTTTATCAGAAATGACTTTTTATAGGTGTTTGCATAACATCTGACATCAACTTGGTGACATTTGATAACTTCTCCATGCAAAATTCCCTTAGTTGCAGGATGTTTCATAAATTGTCCACTTCAAACGCCCCTAACAACATTTCAATGGGATTCAAATCAGGCCTTTACGTAGTCTTGTCAATAATCGGTCTTGTTTTTGGTACATTCCTTGGCAGATTTTCTAGTGTGCTTTGGATTATCATTTTGAAAGATTTGTTTTCAAATCATCTTGAACTTTGGAACAGGTGGCCTCGCATTCTCATCAAGCATACTTTGATATGTTGCGGAATTTATACTTGATGACTGCAAGCTGCTCAGGCCCCGAAGCAGCATGACATTTCATCACTATGCTTCACAGTTGATATGAGGTTCTCCTCATGCCTACCGTGGCCAAACAACTGTTATCTTTCAGTTATTGATCCACAGCACATTGCTTTAAATATGTTCAATGCAAACTGTAGTCTTGCTCCAATTTTTTTTTGGACAGCAAGCGTGTTTTCCTGACTCGCCTCCCATGCAGGGTTACATTGATGAAGCATCTTCCTGATTGGAGATGCATGCACTTTAGGGCCAACTGTTGAAAGGGTTAAAGTGACCCTAAACTCAAGAGTTAAATGTTAATGTGTTCAAGTACCTTAAAGGTGGCCATACACTGTACAACCATCGCAAGACCTAAAAAAAACGTACGATCTGCCCATCTTGGACAGGCAGATCGCACTCTAGATCATCGCAAGCTACGCACCCCTGAGGGGCGGGCTTGCGATGACTGTAATGAGGGGCGGGCTTACGCTGACTGCAAACGGGCAGTGTGCGCGTGCGCACACCAGCCCCTTCGGCAGTTGCCGAACCAGCAGGCCACCAACTCGCCGAAAATCGTACGATTCCCGGCGGGTTTTCCAGCCTGCTTGTTCGATGGAAGACGTGCGACCGTACAGTAGAAACGGTCGCACGCCTTCCATACACTACGATTCTCGTACGATCGCGGGATTTCCCGCAATTCTCGTACGAGAATCGTACAGTGTATGGGCACCTTAACACTAATGTATCTTATTTGTGTATCACTCGGCTGTAGATCCTCAAATCATCTCTGAATTGGTGCTGACACTGTCCTTCCTTCTGGAGGGTGACTACTTTTGTTCCCTATGGTCACTGTGTGTGTTGTTAAGTAGTCACCGCTCCAAGCTCACTCCCGTGATATTTTAGGAAGCTTGGAGACTTTTACAATCAAATCATCAACTCTTGAGCTGAATTTGCTAGGCTGGCCACATTAGCAGTCATTATCTTTACAGAGGAATGATTGTTTTCAAATAATTTGGCAATATTTTGGAATACTTTGCCAGACTTGTATGCATCCACAACTTTCTTTCTGAGGACCTTATTTAGCTCTTGCAGTCTTGGCATGATGACACCACACCCCTCCACTGCAGTGCGAATATCTCCTGTTTTGGAATTTACTGCACTGCATAGTTTAGAACCCTGTTTCCCCGAAAATAGGACCTAGTGTGTTTTTTTTTTTTAGCCAAAAGAAATATGACAGTGTCTTATTTTCGGGGAAACACGTTATCATCCACAAAACGAAATTAAAGGAGAACTATGGGGTTAAGGCTTTTCCCCATCGTTCTCCTTAGGGTAACGGGAGGACACAAACTAGCGTCCTCCCGTCACCCTAGGAAGTCCAATCTATGTTATAGATGAATAAGATGAACAGGATCTGAACCCTGGGGCACCCCACTCCTAACCCAATTAGAGAATGACCCATTTATCACTACCCTCTGGGTCCGTTCTTGCAGCTAATGTTCCACCCATGTCCATACAATTTCATCTAGACCTATAGACCTTAGTTTATGGATTAGACGTTTGTGGGGGTACTGTGTTGAATGCTTTAGCAAAGTCCAGATACACCACATCTACTGGTATTCCTTTATCTAATTTAGTACTTCCTCATAAAATGTTTATAGATTGGTCTGGCAAGAACGGTCCTTCATGAAACCATATTGGTAAAGTCCTGCATGTAGTCCCGTATCATGCATTCGAATATTGTATACATTATTGATAAGCTGACTGGCCTATAGTTACCTGGTTCACTTCTTTTCCCTTTTTTGAATATTGGTGCTACATTTGCTCTCCCCCAATCAGCCAGGACCATATCTGTCATTATGCTGTACATAAAAAATTCAGATGTGGTGGGCCATTGAAGTGAATGGCACCGTAGCCACGCCCTCTGGCCGCAATTCGATCGCCCGGCACACATCGCAAGACCTAAAAAAACGTACGAACTGCCCATCTTGGACAGGCAGATCGCACTCTAGATCATCGCAAGCCACGCCCCCATGAGGGGCGGGCTTACGAAGACTGCAAACGGGCAGTGTGCGCGTGCGCACACCAGCCCCTTCGGCAGTTAATGCTGCACTATTTTGATCGCACCGGACCACAGGGACTATTTTGATCGCACTGCAGGCACAATGTGCCTTGCAATTCCGCGTGGGCGATCGCACTGTGGCCGGAGGGCATGACTACGGTGCCATTCACTTCAATGGCCCGCCACGCCCCTCCAGCCCAGCAATAAAGTGAGCCGGCCGCAATGCGAAGCAGTGCATTCTGGCCAGAAATGGACCGGAGCACATTGCATATGGTGTGAATCGACCCTTAGTCTCTCTCCTGCCGCACATCTCTGCTGGACCAGATGCTCTCGCCGCTCTGCTTCAACTAGTGGATTGTAAAGTCTGCATGAGTTGGGAACTTACCGCTTGCACCATAACCTGTTTACCATGAATGATGGGTACACGGGCAAAGCAATACACTGAACAATCCAAAACCTCACATTTTACCAAATTGATATCCAAGCCATCTGTGTACAATACAGACATGCGGCATTATTTGCAGTCACTTGCTAAGCTGGAGCAATCCCACCGCTGGCTGAATACTAAGGCCTGGTTCACACCTGGGGGTTTTACATTGCGTTCCTACATGTGAAAACCAATGATTGCCTATGGGCATGGTTCCCACCTGGGCGCTTCACACCGCGTAGGAACGCGCTGCAAAACGCCCAAAGAAGTACAGGAGCTTCTTTGGGGCGATCATACCGCCAGTGAAATGTGCGTTTCACTGAACAAAAAAAATGAGCATAAGAAACCCGCTCAGGTGTGAACCCAGCCTCAATGTTTTTATGCGACTATAATAAAGAAAATATGTAAAGCCATCATAATGTCTCTTCAAGGGCCGGGATCTAAGTTAGGTAGTTACTGTAAAATCCATTCTTGGAGGTCAGTGGGGGAGACTGTCAGGTTATACTGCCATGATAATAGGTGTAAGGGGTGTATATGAGGATTAGGACGGTGGCAAACAAGAAATTGTGTTAAGCTCATTATACCCCCCCGTCTGTTTGTGGAAAATGGTATGATCATAGAGGGGTGGGATATTTGTTCCTCAATGAACGCCCAGGAAAAGGATTTTATTAGAAGTACAAAAAGCCCAATTTTGTTTCTTTTGATGAGAAGCCCGAAACTCCCCTGCGGGGTAAATGGAAGACATTGACTCGATTCCTCCATCAACAAGAACAGCGTGTCGATCGAGGAATCGCCGGTGTTTGCTCATTGGCTGCCGGCTCTGATCGTACGAAGATTGTCCAGCCGGCTCCTTTGATCAGCTGATGGAGGAATGCTGACTGAAAGGGAGCCGACGGCCCCATGCACTGGACGAATTTCAGCCGGTACATTAAAAGCCGGACAACATTTGGCCAGTGTATGGGCACCTTTAGAATCATGTACAGACCTAGTAGAGTGCACCTTGACAGGAAAGGTCTATCCTTAAGATCATTTACTTCAGTAATGGTTTATCTGAACCCCTCTTTCCCTGCGATTGGTGGAAAGAGAAACTTTTATTCCCAGAGTGAACTGTCAGGAATGACAAAAAGATAATCGTTTTTCCCTGACAGAAGCAGTGGCTGTGAGGTCACAAAGTACATCCAGACATTGGAGGGAAATCTGATGAACTGGAGCAGCAAGAGGCGTGGGAGAACAATATCCTGGTTATGGTGAAAAGCCAAAACTACCTTAGGAAGGACGGTAGTGGCCACCACACCAACTTGTACTAACCTGTCCCACGATTACAATGTTAGGTTGTGAGGCCATCATTTTCTTTGTTTGCCAGTCCTCCTGTAGGTGGTATTATAACCTGAAAGTCTCTGAATTTGTGTCACTCAATAAAAGGAGAAGAGAAAAATGAAGTTGCCATTGCCGACTTGTTTCTGAAAATACATTCTCCCAGGCTGTCATCTTTATTCTTCATTATTTATCTGTAACCTGGACCAAACATGTTCCCAATAAGCACGATTGGTTCTGCTCAGTGACTCACTGACGAGGGAAGGGGAGATTATATAAATCATATATTCAGACAATATACAGCGAGGGGAATTTATCAAAACCGGAGCAGATTTGCACTGCAATCAATCAGCTTCTCTGTCTCATGTTCAAATCTTACCTCCGCAAACTGAAGAGAGGAGCTGATTGGTTGCCATGGGCAACTGCTCCAGATTCTGTATGCTCCAGTTTTGATAAATTCCGCCCCCCGCATCTTGTCACAGTAAGGTGATGACTGCACAGATGAACAGGAGAGCACATTGGCACAGTACAAAACCTCAGCAATGATGGCAGGCACGGATGGTGAGTAGAAATGTTTATTATCTTTAACCCCTTCGTGACTGACGACGTACAGTGTACGATCCCGGCTGGAGCAACAGACTGAAATTATTAAAATCAAGTGCAGTTGTTTTTTTTTATTTTGGGGATTTACCATGGCAGACATTAACAGTTGTAGCCTGCGGGAGATCACACCTCGTCCATAGACCGCAAGGGTAGTGTTGTCTCTTCCAGTTTGACACAAAGCAGTCTGGTTTTTTTTGTCATTTCCCAGACAGGAACGTCCGGCAGGGTAACAGATGCACCTCACAGAGGGATATTTGCATGTTTCTTCCATGGATTCACTAGCCGTTTACTTGCAAGTACTTCAAGGTCACGACAGATTCGCGTGCGTGTAGTAGAGGGCTGGATGATGTCGTCAACAAATCCTGTCCACAACAAAGTCAGTCAGTCGAGGATGTCAAAGAAAGAAAATCAATACCGAGAAACACAAATGTTCACATCTCATCTATCTAGTAACAGAATTCAAAGCTCGTGTAATCCACCTACTGCTGACCGACCTCCAAGGTGACCTGTGCTGAGAAATGTGACTCTGCTGATCTCTCCGGGCTTATTTATTCATACACAGAGAAGATATGTATTTGTTGAAGACTGTACACACCATAACGAAGGTGCCGCAAGAACAGGGCTCATCTCACGGCTGGAACACTTCAATGATTCACAAACTGCCAACCATACCACTGCTACGGACTTTGCTTGATAAAACTTTATTGTACAAGAGCAACAAACATCCCTCCGGACGCGAGCGCTTGAGAGGAGACTATCAAGCAAGTTAGATAGCAGTCGTGTAGTCATCATTAATATGCAGAGATGATAATCTGTTGTATAGGAAGAGGATCTACACCGTGCTGGGAACCAGATACATTTTTGGCAAATTGTCCCCTGAGAGAAAAAAAAAAGCTGTCACCAGTTAATGAGCTGGTCTGGAAGAAGTCTCACCTCTGACTGCTGCAGGAAAAGGGTTGGCAAACTTCTCCACGTATTCTGCCTCTGCCTCGGCTTGGTTCTGTTTTCCTCTGAATATGATCTGTACAGCCCCCTGCAGGAGACAGAAAGCGGCAACTTCATCTCTCAGCCTGACCAGGAAGAATTCTATTCCAGTCACACATTATAGACTTCTAGGTGCCATTGGCCTAGGAGATCACAACCAATCCAATTCTAAGTTTTCATATAACTGGTGGCTGTGGTGTCATTCCTGTGTAGTACCTATGCACAGCAAAGCAACGGCTTCACTTTAAATGGCATACCAACCAATAGCTTATACCTTTCCTTTGCTCCCTTGATGCACCATGCAGCCACTAAGTAAAGAGACATTCCTGGTATGGGAGAGCATGTGACTCACACACATCCCCACCATGTGACTTAGCTGGTGCATCAAGGGGAGTGAAGGAAAACCAAGTATAGCCAGTTAATGGGGGTGGGGGTGGTCATTAAAGAAAACCTCTCCCTTTGTCCTGTAATAGCGCATGCACGCACACTTACCCCCTAAGAAGGGTGGGCAGGGACTTTGTGCCGAGGTTGGGGAGGGTGCAGACATGTGATCATTCCCCAATCCAACCGTAACCAGCTAGAATGCTCAAACATTTTTATGGCTTAAAGGAAACCTATAACCAGAGAAATACAGAGGCTGCCATTGCCGACTTCCCCCTGAAAATACTACATGTCTGGCTATCTTTGGCTTCAATACTTTTACGATGCATTGGATTGGCATGGCAGCCAGACACCTAGTATTTACAAAGGGGGAGGTTGGCGCGGGCTGGCTACAGATTTCCTTTAAGCTTCTTACCATTTCCTCTTTATAATGACCTAGTACCTTTGCTCCCATGACGGCGACCTCTGCTGTTGGCCAGGCGTAGTTGACATCACCTCTTAGATGCTTTGAGCTCATGACATCATAGGCACCGCCATATGCCTGGTGACAAAGAAAATGAGTGAACATTACAGCATACAACCTCTAACACTGCACCACAGCGGCAGCTGCTTCCCGATATATACAATTATTATGAAACATTTCTGATGCAGCACCGTGGTCACAATCTGATGAAAATGAAGACTGGGAACAAAAGGCTTGAGGGGTCATTTATATGCCAGGCTGATGCCAGTCACACAGCACTACCATTCCTAGATGGCACGGGGGATAAAGGAGTTCCCAATACTCGTCATTACCATCAAGGGGCGCTAGCACCGTGCATACAACCAGCAGAACTTTTATAAACAAACCCATAAAGTGCATCTAAAGCCCTAAGGGTTTGCTTTTCCTTCTGGATAAAGTAGAGAAGAGTTGGAACCTCCTGTCAGGTTTTCACTGCCAAGTGGGTAGATTCCCTCATTCTATTTCTCCTGGTGACCACAATCGCCACCGTGGGACCGACACAAAGTGAAGGAAAAGACAACATTTGGAGTTGTCATCAAAACATTCATGGGGGGACCTTTTTCCAGTGACAACTAGGATGGGGTTTCCTCTGACTTCCTGTTGTGTTTACATGACAAGAGCCGAAGAGAAACCTTCCCAATGGGATACAAATGACAAAGAAAATAATTGCTGACAGTGGTTTCCCCCCTTGCCTCCTCCACCCAACACGAGTACACATGGCTGGCATTAGATATACAGCATGAAACTTCAACTAGCCATTCCATCCCACTGAAAGCTTCCAATGGGACCGCTTTGATCATTGTTTTCAACACTTGGACAGTAACAAGCATCTATTTGTGTCCCTGCACAAAGAATGTGCAGCATGTCAATGTGTTTATGGCCGATAGCGGAGTGATCCATTTTCTGACATCTATCAGTCAATCCAGAAGATTGCAGAAGTTTGTGTTTGACGGATGGACAGATGTCACTGGTACCTAGAGACATTAGCCCATCAATGGTCACCCTTTTAGTTTCCTTCTGTGTGGCTGTTTGGAGGGGAGTCGTTTTCCTGCACACAGCTGGCTTCCTGTTAGTCCTTGTATACTGAAGCGTCACACACATCGCCCTGTGCACAGTACGTCCTCACCTTCCTAGTAATGACTGTGATCTTGGGGACAGTAGCTTCAGCAAAGGCAAACAAAAGTTTTGCTCCATGTCGGATGATGCCTCCATACTCCTGGGCGGTGCCTGGTCAAAAAGCATACGCAATCATCAAAATGTAATACATTAGACGTTCAGCTCACCAGCACTAAGCCCATGTGAATGAGACCCAAGGCTGTCCAAACCAAGAGTGAAGCAATTTAGGTGCAAGAATAGTGTGTGTGTGTGTGTGTGTGTGTGTGTGTGTGTGTGTGTGTGATCTGACAAATAATATGCCAATGTGTATACGTGAGCCATTTACCCCTTTGGGATCAAACACAACACACAAATGTCTCCTCTCCTAAATTCTCCTGTTACCAGGTACTCAGCCTACAATATGTGCA